ATCTCCAGCCGAACGAACAGAGGGCCCAAGCACGTTTTTCACTTTCGTCTTCGCCGAGCTCCTCTCGTGCATAAATCATTAAATGATAATTAATGATCTCCATTTATTATCCTCGACCAACATTGTTCAATTACCTACTGGCTGACACTCGCTTTTCTAGAAATTATGCGCGACGTCTCAGGCTGCTCGAAAATGGAATGGAGCTTGATCCACTAAAAGCACTTCCTTTTGCCAGCACTACGAGTGAGCACGTGTATAAATTATCCGCTGAGGCCAAGTAATTACATAATTTCAATATGTGAGGCACGGCTGCTACGACAACGGTATTTTTTGACCCAAAGACGCAATCCCAATTAGTTGAGGGGTTATACGTATAGTTCGAGAGAAATGACTGTCCGGTGACGGAGGTTCCTGAACAACATTTTGTAAGGATTTTGTTTGTACGTTATATATCTTGAGTGAAAGTGTCAGATGTTTTAATTTTTTTTTCATTCTAAGGATCATCTTTCTAGTGTCCATGAAAAACGAATGAAGAAGCAAGATCAACAATCTAAAAAGTCGATCATTAAGCTTTTTATTCCAAAAATGGATTATTTATTCCACTCCTGCACCAACTGCGATGAACCGTACAAGAATCACTATCAAACTATAGTTTGATGAAAAATACACCGTCATACGTGAAAACTCCGAAACAATAGAGTGTGGAAACAGAAAAAAACCGTACGATGTAGCAATGGTAGAAGAACGATTCAATTAATCGGCTGGCCAAACTTCTGGCTTAGTGCAAGCTCCGGAAGCGATATTGCCTCGGGATGCCATAAATTATACCCACGTGGGTCAGCTTTGCCAAAAGCCGAGGGCAAAATTATATGCCAGCCGCTCGCTTAGTGCAACAGCTCCGAAGTAGCCGAGCTATCTGGTCTACATCTGCGTCATCTCTGGAAGCTCTGTGTAATGTGCAGTTCTGTGAATCATTTCGTCGATTCTCTACTTGATTTCTATCTGATTGTATGGAATGGTCAAGCTTTTGAAACTGCCACAACGATGAAGTAAAATATATAGAAAGTTACGTAGTATTTTTATTAAAGTTGTACGAGAACTCTTTGGCTAATCGAGAGAGTTGACCTCGAGTTAATGTACATCACCTTTATTCCAAGAAATTTTTATTCATATTGCGTAATAAAGAAATCCACTTTAAAATAAGCAAGAAATTTTGTTCAATATTTATATCGCATGATTTATTTACGATTGGACTAAACATCAGACTATTATATCACTTTAACTCGAATTGGGAACAGCTCCAGTACAAAATATTTTATCTCTGCATAAAAACTCTTGGAACAAAGTTAGTTCCACTCCCTACGGGCACCTCGATTGTTTCTTTAAAGCTCAATAGAAATAAAAGGTAGAAAGCTCTGAATCTGCTCACTCTTTTGTTTTTGTCATCCGTTTTGCCTATGCATGACCTTATCGGTAAAATTTTTCTGGATTCGTATTTTCTTTTTATTTCTATTATCCTTACGTTGAAGGCTTTCTATCACCATTATTGTTGAATTACCCCATAATTCATATCTTTGCCATTGTCAAAGGAAATTTTCATTTCTATTATTTTTATGTAACTAATTCAATTTTTTAAAAATGCAGACTGGTATATTTAACATTTAAAAAAAAAATTGAGAGACAGCATAATTTTTGTATTCTAATAAGAATTTTTCAGGTCACCTTGAAGAATTTGACTGTCTAACCACGGAGTCCCGTTAAATATTATCAATCTATTGTTGATTTAATATTCATTCTCTTTAGTGCAAATACAGTAGTGGAAAATTCAAACATTCTTCGATGCTGAAGACGATCCTTTTGGCGGAAAGTTTCTATCCACCTCAACCTCCTTTTTCCTGACGTATTTTACCCATATAGGTTTGCTTACTTTAGCTAGCCGCAAAGTCGTCCTTTAGTCCGTTAGAACAAATAAAGCAGGAAAACATCAGCAGCTCATTTGTGGCACGGTGTCACATTATCAGATAGTGAGGAGCATTTAGCTGGCACTATTATAGCGTCGCGTTAACCATAACCACCCTAACAGCGATAAATGCTGGGGGGTGGAACGCAATTAAACTGTCCGCACTACACCGCCGAGGAACTAAAGAGGCGAGGAATTTACGAGGAGCCATTTTTCTTCCTCGTGTGCTGGTGACTACTATGCTGATGAGGATCCTTTCTTTTCTAGAGCTTTCTTTTTCGACTTTCAAACAAGCGAGAGACAGCGGAAAGTCCGCAGGGCCGCCGTGCCTTGCAATTACTATTTCCTCGTTGTGTAATGTAGGTATTTACCATATACTAGCATGGCGCTTAGTTTCCCATAATCGAGTTAGAAGGGAGATGAATATTCAGAGAAATGAGTGAGTAAAAATGTGTCTGCTCAATTTGGCGTAAGAACTTGCGTTTATTCACGTATGTTATGTGTAAGAAGAAAGGAGTGGATTGCTCGTGTGCATGAGATGCGGGTTGTTATTATTACGTGACTGTATTGTTTCAGAAAACAGGAGCTACTCGTATGCAGTAGGGACACGTTACATATCCAGTACTCTATTTCTCCTTTCCCAAGTGGGCTGAGAAAATAAACTGTACAGTCGTGATCTGATGCACCGCACTGATACACAAATTGCAGATGGAGGAGACAAAAGGGCTTTGATTTTCGTCGTTAGTTCTCGCCCTATTGAATATGGCAGGAATATTTAACGTGGAAAATCTCAATATTGGTGGTACTGTGCATCTGCGTATCAGTGAAAAGGTTACCACTTCTCTTGAAAATTTTTTTTTTCTCTGTTTATTTAAATGAAAATCGATAAAGAAATAGGAACCGTGTAGTCGTTTTTGTATCGGACAACTTTAAGAAAACATCTTCTAAACACTGTGAATGCATAACTAAGAGTACTTTGAGAATTTACCATTATTTTTGGAAAAACGTTGTGAAAATATTGATTATTGCCACTTTATTTCTCAACCGATGCTTTCATAGTTGTAATTAACTACAGAGTAAAATGCAACATATTTCTTTCATTTTTTTGTTTCTCACAAACCGAGAATTTATAAACCAAATCAGTATCTCTATATTAAACATAATTCATTTGACATTGACGAATAACAGTAAATCAATGATGGTCACTGTTATTATTCCTAAACCCTCACCTCTGTCAATAAAAGAAAACAGGAGGAGCAGTGCAGCAGAGTAAACCTTGCAATTTTGGTAACGACCGTCGTGGTTGCTCGAGTTCCCCCTTTGCTTTTGCGCCTACTGTACAACGGACGGCTGACGAAATGATTTGTCATTTTCGAGGGGTCACTTTGAAGAGTCCAGATAACAGATAGAAAGAGAGAGAGAGAGAGAGAGAGAGAGAGAGAGAGAGAGAGAGAGAGAGAGGTTAGAAACAACGCTTAGGTCGAAAAAGAACATTAGGGGTAACACATATCAGATAGGATAATGAGTTCGTTGTCATCGTCAGCTGATGGGTTTCCATATAACAGGAGCCACGCAGTTCCGCAATAAGTTACTTTGTGAATTATCGATCGAAAGCGAGGAAGCCAAACGATATATGTCAGCCCGACTTCTCGCTGTGCTCCTTCCTGTCTTTCTCAAGCGGTGTATCGTCAGAGAGAGATTCAGATTCAGATTCTTTATTTAAACATAGAGAGAAAGAGAGAGAGAGAGAGAGAGAGAGAGAGAGAGAGAGGGAGCCTGAAATGTCTTGATAGACCTACATGATATTAAATTATCTTACTAGTTCATTTATTTAAAATAAAATTGCAATTGAGGAAATCTATACATAAATTATCTACTTGTTGATGATAAAATTTGGAAGGTTTTGAAGTTTATCAGTCGTACTTACAACCCCACATAAATATATACGATTGCCCGAAAGCAACTTCTACCAGCCCTTAATTCTATAGGAAAGTGCTTATTGTTTCGGCGTCAGACGGATTTCGTACATTATTCCGCTTGGAAACGGGAAAAACATGGTCTGGGATTCCGAAAATTGTATGATCAGGCAACTAACTTTCACTGTTTAAATTATTAAGTATGTACTTCAATTTATTACCTCGATTTAACGTTTTAAGATCAACATTCGTGGGTTCATTTATTTTAATCGAATATTAGAGTACAGAAAATATATTTGATACTCTAAGCGGCTCTTATGGCACATGTTATAAATATTGAGAGACTTAATTCAGTTAATTACATAATTAAAGATTCACTTAGCGTAATTAGGAAATTTAATTGAAATGTGGTGAGAATTTAATTAAATTTTAGTACGTACATGCTTACACGGATTATCTTAGTTTCATAGTATAAAGTCGAGGCTAAATAGGTATACTGTACATGTAAGTGTATTATTCGAATTATTGTATGATAACAAAGTTTATCGTAGCAATAGAATTTGAAATGTAACACATTAGATCTATTATCAACTAATTGGCTGCATCCATAAATTTATAACATAAAGAACAACAAAATGTTAAACATACCACTCCGCATCTTTTGAAAAACAATCATTGGAACCAAGTCAAAAATTTTTGCACTATTACTTTCTCACATAAATCTTTTCAGAAAAAAAGTGTTTAGTTTAGGGGAGTTGGGTGAATGCTTCATAATGGGTGAATTTTTTTCATAATCGAATTCTCGACATTTTATTTGATTGACGTCGATATTACGAGCAGCAAGCTAAGCCTTGCAAATTCTCAGATTGCGTCAATTAATTTGAAATCCGCTAAATATCGTATAAAGATCCTTCATCATTTGAGATACTAAGCAGAGAGTTGTGTTTAGAACTGGCTTGTGTGAAACTGATCCTGTCTCGCTTAACGAACGCGATTCGACATTCAATGAAAAATCCTTCACCAGTTCGGAGGTCCTTTGGATCTCGTATATTCCTGCATTGTCGATCAATGAGCGCTAGTTTAAAAAAGTTATAAGTTATATAACCTTTCTTTTCTGTTTACAGGTGATATCTGAGTACTGTAGAACGAGGCTACAATCCCAGCCGTTCACCCACGTTGTCATGGACATGTATAGGGAAGTGGTGCGCTCGGCCCAGTATGGTGCTCGCAGACGAGCAGTGCTGCAATCAATACGCAGTCTGCCATCCGTACCCACTCAGCAGCAGCACCATCAGCAACAAAAACACACTCTGGGACCGAAAGCGGTACCAACGCTTCAGAATCCACCGAAGACGACCCCGCAGACATCGAGACATCGCGCTGCAAAGGGAGCGCTATTCAAGGCCCAATCGAGGAACTCGAGATCTCAGCCAAATCTTTTAAGTCTTACAGACTCGGACTACGCTGCCGTAACAGCGAGGACGACGACAAAATGCAGTGCCACTGGCGATATCTACGAGTACTACGTCGTCGATGCCCGCAATCTCCACCAGCGCACCAACTCTCAGCCCGACTGTTGTACTGGTGAGCGGATAGGTATGCGATTACCTTAGCTATGCGTGCATGAATGTTTGTGCGGCTCTCTGTGACAGCCAGAGCCTCGACTCTCTTTGATAGGGAGGCTCGCCGAATATTTGACATGCTTTTCAGACCTCGTAAGCGTAGCTGCGAAATCTGAAGCTAGAGAAAACTGTCTAAGATGAATAGCTAAGGGTCCGCTCAGAATTTTGGAACTTTTGGAATTATATCAAATATGTAATTATAATCCTGTTCATTACTCTGCTCGGTTTAACACACTAGTTTTTGATATTCAAAGACTACTCAAGATTAATTTTTTTTGAGGCACCGAGAGAAGAAAGCATATGTATCGAATTTATGAATTTAAATATTATTGTATAACGTTGATTTTAAGAATCTGAATACAATAGGGATACTAAATAGAAATCAACCAAAAATCGATGATCCAATAATAAACCAATCAATTGGTTGTCCCAATTTTTACTCCGATCCGTGGCTTATATCGTAAATATTTTAAATTTCAATCGGTTTTGTTAAATTTTTGTACGATTAAAATTAATGTACGATATGGATATCATGTTTCCTTGCGCAATGATTTTTGAAGTAGGCATTAAACTGTATGAATGAATCCACATATGCATTTATGAGTCAACGGGACACCAGTTACTGAAACTAAATATGAGTGACAAAATAAATGATGCAGCTTTAATTAATCGGGTTTATTATTAATATAGATGTCACCATCCTTACAGAAAAGTTTGTTATTTTATATAAGAAGGATATTTTTCAACAAAAAAATTTGTAATAACCGATGAATCAGTGTTCCAGATATCTGATTTCACAGGATAAAAATATTTTGAAAACTTTCATACAATAAATTTTCCGTAGATAAAATGATGTCTCAAGCAAAGAGTAGCACGAATTTGCCAGCGATAACTGATACCATCAACGACGCCGACATTCAGGATACCAGCATCCCCCAATATGGGGATCCGATCTACGCGCTGCCTGTAAAACCATTCCTCAGTTCACAGGACGTGTGCAACACCACGAAAAAATTTTTGCGGCCGGAATTTTCTGCGCTACCAACCAATAAAGGCCGAATTTGTTATGAAAACTGTAGAGATTTTGGTGTGGGAACTACCATCACGCAGCCAACCGTCTCAAGATGTTTTGAAAGTATCGTTACTCACAAGCAGCAACAGCAAACTCACGTGGTAAAATGTTTGTTACACTACCTTTGCTTACACACCTTGTATATATATTATGATAAGTAAGTGTTTGAAATTTTGGACGCGGAATATGATTTTGGTTCGTATGATAAGTCTGAGGATTAAAGTTTACAGAGATTAGGTTAATTTATTCAAGGTACCTAATTAGTACAGGAGGTTTTAGGCTGTATTTATGCAACTTATATCACATATATAACGGCATTTGATAAATGATATCTTACAGATCGGCTAAATATTACAAGAAAAGTCAATAACTGTACGAAAAACAAAAGTTTCTTGTAACTCAATTGAATAAAAGAATTCGATGGAGGCTTTGTACTCAATTCATCAGTCATTTGTTCTTTCGAATCGTAGGAGGACCTCTATGCAACATCGACAAAGAGCCGTTCCGGGCCCATTGTCTTGCAGCGCCAGCATTCCAGTCCGCAATTTCCCTTGAGTCGTTCATCTTGCAATCAGGAGCAAAAACGCTGGGAGTTTGCAAATTCCATTCCAGACTCTCGTGTTGCTCCCAACCAACAGATTAATAGCAATAACAGTACCATCATAACCAGTAGTATAAGTAACAACAGCAACATTAAGAACAACAACAATAATAGCAACAACAACAATAATAACTCCAAAAGTGAAGTAAGTCCGCAATTACAAAAAATCGAGCAGCGTGTACAGACGGAGCAAGAGAAAACAAGGTTTGAAGCGAGGTTACCATACGTGCCACGGGGACCACCACCACCAAAACCACCACGGATAAACACGAGTCTAAAGAAAGCCCAGGCAGCTCAGACGGCCCTTGAGACCGAAAAACTACAGAGGTAAGTATGAGCAGTCATTTTATTTGATACTTTTTGTCATCATTAAAACTTTCCCTAGAAACAAAATACTAACCCTTTCCGCCCATGGTAAGAAATAATGCATTACTCACCTAGGGAGAAATAATAAAGTCTCAAATCACAGGAATTTGATACCTGAGGAGAAACAGAGGGTGACAAGTGTGTAATATGAGGCTTTCTTTACTTCCTCCCGTGAGTTGTGTACACACGCATACACACACGATTTTTCACGAATTCTGCGCCAACAGAAGAAATTTTTCTCTCACTTCGCGTAGTGTGATATTTGGGATAAATCTTTTTCAGTAACATAGCTTGGTATATTTTCGTATTAAAAAATATGATCGTAAATTTAAAAGTTTGTAAATAGTGATATTTCAAAAAGACATCATTTTTTCACCATCATAGTTCAGTTAGCAAAACTAATGATTGTGATCCATATCTTCTTTTTCTAATTAAATTGGTTTTCTGGTCTGAGCAGGGACGTAAAAAATGGACCAAGAGCACGAAGAGGTCAGGCAGTTCAGAGAGCTCCATCACGTCTTTATAGAACTGTAAATGGTCCAGCCAGGTCCTTCAATAAAACGCAGTGTGTTGGACCGGAATTTGTAGTACGAGCTAATCAACCGATAAAACTACTGACTGTCGGGGATTTCAAGGTAAGATTTATTATTATTCTTATTTTTTTTATGAAAATCTTTTAATATGCTGCAAAATGGGGTTTTAATGAAATATTTAATACATTTCACTCAGTACAATTGTCGGACACATAGTTAAAAATTTGTTTGTAATCTGGAAAATATCACTAATATAAGGTGGCTTTTGTCTAAGCTTCAGTGCTTTCTGCATTCATCGATCTATGTTTCCTTCTTAAAATATTGAAAAATCACTTAACAAAGCATGTTTGTTCTTTGCAGCGGAAAAATTCAAAAGTATGTGTTAAACTCCTGATAAATTAAAAATAAGTATTCATTTTAAAACAGCCCAATATCCAAACCCAACTAAAAAAATCTATAGAAATCAACATGTTATCGAACTCTGCAGGTTGACGAACAAAGTAACCTCACGTGTAAATGTTTGCGCGATAATGTCGTTTATTATTTTTCCATTTACTGCGATGTAGTGATCCATCTCGTCGTTTGACAGGTTTCTTGTTTTTGGGATTTGAAGTATGTAGTTTTTGGTGATGTGTTTTTGGAATTTAGTCTAGTTGGTTTTTTTGTAACAGTATTTTGTTTCTGAGGTCTCTTCAACATGCAGTTTGTTGTTAGTTGGGAGGATGATTGTGAGCTTAGTTGCTCTATGATCAATATCTATTTGTATTGTTTGTGCTAGTCTTTCTACTGTTACAAGTCTAGTATCAATTAGGGTGAGGCCAATAAAGGCATTTGACGCTGGGAATGTTGCCTTAGCTGGGTTAATGATTTTGAGATTGTAATCGATTTTTTTTGCTAAACCAATGATTAAGTTGTGTACCTCTATAATTTATTTTTGTGTCGCCAAAAGTTGGGTGTCTAGTGTTAAGGTCACCAGATAAAATATAGAAGTTGTTAGAATAATTTAGATTAAAATCATCGAAAAGGGCTATGAGATCTTTATACAAGTTGTTTCATTAGAGCTGGAGGCATATGCAGTGATTATGACTAAGTTTTCATTTTTTAATATTTTTATTTTCAGAGCCGTTAGTTCTAATAGTGATAGATTATTTTTGGCTTTCATGGTTTCAATTTTAAATTTTTTTTTAATCAATAGTGTGGTGCCCCCACCTCCATTAATTATTCTATCTGTTCTAATTAACTTATAATTATGAAATTTAGGATTATGTAAACTATTCAATTTTGTTTCGCCTAAGAATACTATACCTAGATCATAGCCAAATAATAATTTATTTATTTCTAGTCTCTTGTACTTACTTTTTAAAGAATGTATATTAACTTCTATAATTTTTAGATTATTAATTGGAGAGCTTTTTGGGTTAATGGTATTGGTTATTATATTAATGTCATTTTCTAAATTTTTTCTGTTGTTTTTTTGCTGGTTTTTTTAATTAACTTTTTTTATTTTCTCCCCATTATTATTATTCATGCTCCATGCATTTTTCCTCTGTTGTTGATGAGTGTTATTGTGTGCTTGAGTTGTTAGGGTTTACCTTATCCTTGATCCGTAGAGGTTATGGCAGGTTTGTTGGGTATATTCACTTTGAGTTCAACCTGGGGGTCAAGCCCGACGGCACCAGTTCCTGGACCGTAGTCCGTCTTGACACTTCCGTTTTTACTGTTTTGCAGTTTTATTTGTTTATTTTCACTTTGTACTGAGTCACAGTTACGTGAGCCAGATATTCTAACCACTAGACCATACCGGAAGACGGGAGAAAGGGGAAATTAAAAAATGCACTAAAACAGTACAAAGCTTCTGTGTAAAGTGAAATGAGTAACGTAAGATCCAGATGAGGTTTTTTTTTTCGATTAAAATTATAAATTTTAAACTGTAGATTAATAATAAAAACAATCATTTTTCTAAATTTACATCATATTAAACATTGAAATTAATAGTTTAAAACAACATCTTGGAGGTGGGAGGACCTTAGCTTTTATTACTAACTATAATGTCTGACATTATTTTTTTTTAATTTATGGTTGGAACAATAAATAATAAAGTAAAAAATGTCCTGTATTATTAAAACACAACGAATTGCATTGGAATATAAATAATAAGAAATAAATTTATTTATTTCAGATGAGCAACGTTGGACGTTTGACTGTGATACTTTTGACAGGTCAACGGCTCGAAGTCACGTGTGACCCGCAAAAAGTAACCGCAGGCGAGCTATTTCAAGTAAGTTGAAATTACTTTCTTTCTACCGTCATAACTCTGTTTCACGAATAATACACAAAAAATAGCTGATTAAATTATCAAACAGCTATTTGGTCGGGTACAATTTTCAGTACTTAATTTTCTAAAATAAACTTTAGCACTGACAACATACATCAGAATGGCTCGTAAAGTTAGTACATTGTTGACACTCAATTAGTTCTGTTTATTAGCTCACATATCTTTTGCTTAAATTGTCAACAATACGTACCATTGCGCATTTATGCATGAATCAGGCAAAATGTCAATACACGGTAGCATTAAGTTACACACAAAAGTAAGCAAATAGAACTAATGTTAAATTATCACCAAACTCGATTACGAGCAGCTACACACTCTTCAAGTCATTGAAAAGACTCAAAAGCCAATAAAAATACTTCAAAGACTGCAAAAGTCTCCGAAAGACTTCAAGAGCGCGAATAGCTTGAAACCATTAAAAAAGACTGCAATATCTCATGAAAATACTCACAAAAAAAATGTGTAATTTATTATTTGAGTTTAATATACAAAATAATATAGGACTTAATTTTATCAACTTTATTTATTCCTTAACATGGCAAATAAATTTCAATTAGTTTCTACCTAAATGCCTCCTGATAAAGTTATTATTTACATAGGATTTGGTATACTCAGTTCAAAATATGATCAATACAACAATTATATATAAGTCAACGTAGAAACTTGTTATTTTTAATTGGAAAGCAGAAATAAAAACTATACATACACTTTGATTCATTTTTTAAAATTTACCAATATATCAATGAATCATAAGTGCCACTTCACTGTATGTCTACAGTTTGTTTTAAATATCGTAAACACCTGTAACATATAATACTGATTTCTCTTTGAAAGAATTTAAACAATATTAATAAAGAGGTTCGATGGCTTAA